TTTGCCATGAACTCGGCGAGTCTGCGTCCCGACTCGCCGAGTAGCAGCGAGGTGGACACGGGATTTAAGTTGGGAACTCGGCGAGTCGACATATGGACTCGGCGAGTCCACCTGTCTGGATGAAACTCTATTTTCAGACATTGCACCCTATTTTACCCATTCTAAAACACCCATTTCATCCCATTTTCCTCCCAGAGAGCAGTAGAGAACAACCCTAGCTCCTTTAGTGTTCTTGAGTGATTTTGATCTTCCAAAGAAGGTTTTGGAGCTTAGAAGAAGAAGGAGGAAGTTGGAGTGTTCCAGAAGTGAAGGTAGATCCGAAATCTACTCTGGGGAAGGCATCAAATTAGGTAATAAAACCCTCACTTTGCTCATTAGCTCTTAGGTTCCTTTTGTCCCCAGTGGTTGATCTTCAAGCCTTAAAACCCCCAGATTTCGTGTGTATATGTGATAACCAGACCCTAGGAACTGAGACCCATGAGTTGGATCAGTTGCATGTCTCAGATTTGGCCAGATTGGGTGAAGAGTCGAAGGGAACTCGACGAGTGCCAAAGTGCACTCGGCGAGTTCCATGAAGATGGCCTTAGACTCGACGTGTTGGATGAACAACTCGGCGAGTCCTATGAAGATTGTCTGGTACTCGGCGAGTTGTTCTTCAAACTCGGCGAGTCATATGAACTGTCACTAGGATAAGAAGGGTTTAAGTGTAGGAGGTCCAACACTTCGTAGTCGCACGTGGAATTAGCAATTTAACGTGTAGCTATAGTCCTAGAATCTCCAAATCTCCAAGGTTAATGTTCTGATGGAAGATTAGAGCGAATTGTGAGATCTGTTCGTCGGACTCGGCGAGTCCCCCCCCCTTGGACTCGGCGAGTCCAGTCGCGGGTTTGTTAGTTGTCCCCGTTTAGCGAGTCAGGCTGACTCAGTGAGTGGGAACAGGGACCCGATGAGTCAGAGTCGGGCTAGACGTAGAAGGACTCGGCGAGTCGCTATATGGACTCGGCGAGTCCAGTCAATCAGAGAGTTGACTTTGACCAAGAAGTTGACTTTGACCAGTCATTTGACCTAAGGGGTATTTATGAGTACCTAATCCTTGATTACAGATTTATAGTCGGAGGGTTACCGGTGCGGCAGCCAGGCGTAGGTTGAGCGGGTTTTCAGCAGCTACCCTCGAGGTGAGTTACCTTCCAGTAGAAGTGGGTCTAAGGCCACAATGTCGGCCCACTAGTAGGAGTCGTATGATAGATGACTGTCTGTGTGATAATCATCTAGGTTTGTTACTACCTGATATGCTTTATGTGCTAGCAGATTATGATGTATGGGTTATGTGATACGTTATTATGTGGTAGCAGTAGTAGGGGGTGAAACAGTCCCCGATCCGGTCGACAGGACCGAAGGGGTAGGCCAGCACCCAGATATGCTAGGCAGTATCTGGTCGACAGGACCGAAGGGGAAGGTCGGGCACCCAGAAATGCCCGGCAGACATGTATGCTATGTGATTGTATGGGTATGAGGTTCGTTGGGGGAACTCACTAAGCTTCGTGCTTACGTTTTATAGTTTTGTTTTCAGGTATCTCTTCAGCTAGGGGAAATGAGTCGGCGCGGTAGCGGCATATCACACACACTCTTGTTTCCGCACTATGGATTTTCTGGGATGTACTCTGAATATTTTACTATGATGTTACCGGTTTTCAGACATAAATTAATATTATGAATGTTTTGTAACGATGTTTTTATGTATTAACCTAATTTAAAAATGAAATTTTTAGCTGATATTTTTGGGATGTTACAGTTCTTTATATCCACAGAAAGGTGTTGAAAAGCTCTATAATATTATCTAAAAATATTGGGCTAAAAACTTCTCGAACGAAAATCTATATTTCATGCAAGAACTCGGCCTATGATTTTTCCCTTTTTACCCTTCGGCCCGAAACACAATTCAAGGGTTAGATCCCTCAACCATCATTACCTCCTTCCACAAGGTCTATACTTACCTCCTTAAGGCCCAAAGCTTTTACACAATTGAATTCCGGCCTACGGCCCTGAAATTAGAAATGGCGGGAAACAGGATGTTACATAAATTTTGGGACGTTACAAATTTGCAAAAAAAAATCTCATACCAAGGGTCAAAATGTAAATACCTAGAAATTGAGGTGTTACATAACATTTGGTGAATTATCATTGGATCAACATACTCATCATGGAAGTGTTTGATTACATTTTCTTTGACGATTTGGGTGATTTTAATCCACAAACCATGTTTGAGTTGTACGATAGTTATGAAACTTGATAAAGATTGCAAATATAGGTTAACTGTAGCAATTAGTGATTCATAGTTGATCTATATTATGATTTTATACTTTTCCTTTAAAGTTATAAATAGAATTGATTAATCCATTGGTGAATCAACGTTGGAATGAAATAAGAGAACTGAATACAATGTTGAGTTTCAAAATATGGAAATGATTTTGATGAATGTAATAAATCATGTTAAACTCAAGTACTAATTCCACCACTATGTCTCTTGCTAATTTCACATTGATATGCCGTTGTTGGCTTTGCAACGAATTTCCAATGAAAATTTATGTTGTTGATTTCTATGTTTCTAGTAGGGGTAAACACGATGCGTTTTTTGGACCAAACCAAACCACAATTTGTAGCTATCTATCGTGAGAAACCGAAATTTGTGGTTTCGATTCAGTGCTTCTTGCGATTATTTCGGTGTGGTTTCGGTTTTTAACCGAAAAATGAGATGGTGCAGTTTTTCATATCCAAACCAGATGTTTCAATTGACTTTCTTTTATTTGCATAAATTTGTTGACTTTCATTTATTTCTAGATTTTTGTTGCAAATAATCACCATTTTGGTCCATTTTATTCTTGCAAGTTAATATTTGTTCCATTTCATTCATTTTACCAGTTAAATAAATACCACTGAAAAGTGATAAAAAATGGTATTTTTTTGAAAAAAAATTATTAAATAAATAATATATAAATTCAGTGTGTAATAAATAATGATGCGGTTATTTCAGTTTTTGTGGTGCAGGTATTGTATAAAACCGAACCACACCAAAATTTGTGTTTTTTTAAAATTTAAAACGCATCATCGGTTTTATGTTCAATTTCGGTTTTTCGGCCTTGGTTTTTCGATTATTTTGCGTTTTTTTTTTCGGTTCGATTTTTGTTCATCCTTAGTTACTAGTAAGTAAACAAAACTGCAGATCTTTCACGGGATGTACAGTCGCACAACCGACACTTTCTCAAAACCGACCCAAAAAAATTAAAATGTTGATAAAATATGTTGTATGGATTTTATAATATAATAAATGTGTGTTGCATCCAATTAAGGTCAACCCGTATATTTGTACATAAAATGTAAATAAGGTATATTTGTGTATTTTTGTATTTTTGTATCTTTTATTTTATCTTATCTTTTATTTTGATTTTTCAAATTTTATACTCAAACCAAATATATCAATTACACAGGTAAATTCATAATCATATTAACTTTATTAAAATAATTATCGTAAATTCCTAAAATACGAAAATAATACAATTACAAAAGAAAATCGACTAATAAAACATTAACTCTTTAATTGTTATATAACTCACATTTATTAACCGAAGTATCTTACTAAAAAAATATGTAGACGTATTAACCACAATGATTTCATTAACATTTCTGTAATGACTAATGATAAAGATGTATGTAAATTTGTAAAGTATTATTCTAAAAACTTTACATAATAATAATAATGATAATAATAATAATAACTGTATTATTATTATTATATATATATATTAAAGCACATGGGAAGTTTCAACAGGAAATTTTTCATGTTTCTAATTTTAACACTATATTTTTATTTTTTCTTAATTTTGCCACTAAAGTTTCAACAAACTTTACCTTTTTATAATTTTGCCCATTTATTTTTACTTCTTCATATTTTTGCCACTAAACATTCACTTTTATTTCTTTAAAACCCTTTTTCTTTATTATTTTATAACTTTACCACTTTATTTTTACTTTTTTATAATTTTGCCACTAAAGTTTCAACAAACTTTTCCTCTTTATAATTTTGGCACTTTATTTTTACTTTTTTATATTTTTGTCACTAAACTTTCACTCGTGCAACGCACGGGCCTTTTCCTAGTTATATATTAAAGCGCATGAAGGTTTCAACAGGAAACTTTCCATGTTTATAATTTTAACACTATATTTTTACTTTTTCTTCATTTTGCCACTAAAATTTCAACAAACTTTTCATTTTTATAATTTTGCCACTTTATTTTTACTTCTTCATATTTTTGTCACTAAACTTTCACTTTTACTTCTTTAAAACCCTTTTTCTTTATTCTTTTATAATTTTACCACTTTATTTTTACTTTTTATAATTTTGCTACTAGAGTTTCAACAAACTTTTCTTCTTTATAGTTTTGGTACTTTATTTTTACTAATTTTACCACTAAAGTTTCAACAAACTTTTCCTCTTTATAATTTTGACATTTTATTTTTCCTTCTTTATATTTTTGCCACTAAACTTTCATCCGTGCAACGCACGTACCTTTTCCTAGTTATTATTAATAGTAGTAGCAGTAGTATTTTGTGAATAATATTGTATTCCATAAAAAAATTTATTGTCGTTTGGATTATAATTCTAACTAGTATTGTTTGAAAACTATTGGTTTGTATTCACTATTGTTATATATACAAACAAACATAGCTCGAATGCATGAACGATGTAAAACACCAAAAAAATCACATATAAATTGTTGAGTTGCATATGATAAAGCCAACAATAACGATAAATGAGATCCATGTTATAGATATAACTTTTTTTCATATACACATCCCTAAGAGTCACAAAAAAATGCAATCCAAAGGGGAACTTTATTTAACAACATCAATCATAAATGATTAATGATAAATGAAAAACGGTTTCAATGGACGAATACCTAGTCCATTAGATCCCTATTTATTATACATATAACATAAGCTATTTAAAAGAAAAACCCGGTAAGAGCGACTGCTACGATTGCGCCAACACCACAAGCCTTGAGGGATGAAGCATCACCTTGTGATTCTTGAGCGGCACTGGTTGCACCAGGGCCTTCAGCAGCACCTGGGCCGCCGGCAGGGGCTCCAGCAGCCCCTGCCACATCAGAAGCGGCATTAGCAGTGGCATCAGCGGCGTCCCCTGCAGCTGTATCAGCAGCCGAGACAAAAGCCACCATGGCAGCGAAGATAAGGGCAAGAACAACAAATCGGTTGATGGCCATTTTATTTTTCTTTATTCGAATGAAGAGAGGAAGAAGATGGTTTTTATTTTATTTATTGAATGATGATTGCGATGATTTGAAATGAAATGTAATATGGGATTTATATAGGGAGAAGAAGACTGAAAATGTTTGTTATTGATCGTTAAACTCGGTGATTTAGTGGCCCTTTGTTTTGGTGAGTTGCTAGACCACACAAATGTCAAATCCAAATTCATTGTAGATTTTAAAATTCTTGGTTGAGCGATTATCAAGTGTACATATAAATTTGGAAATGATTTTTGACCCTGTCATCTTTTCCTTCAATTGCCTTAATTTCCGTTAATCACGTATCACCAAATAATATTAAAGGATTATACTTCATACAACACGATGACATGATGAGATAATCAACATTTAATTGTAACAATATTTAGGATTATACGTAAGCGAAATCATAACATATTGTTCAGATGGAGAGATTTTATAATTGTTAGTTAATTTTGTTAAGTTGGGGTCATTTTACATAAAATTATGGTTCTGGCCACTCTAGCTATATTGTTTGCGTTTCGCCCTGTGACGACAACTTGTAAAGCAAGTTATATGATGTTAAGTTTCATTGAATTTATAAAGCTTTTTATGCGTTGTTCAAACCTACGTGATTAAGAAGATTAGCTAGCTGCTAGCTCCATAATCTATTATCTAGTAATCATTGGACAAATTGTTATTTTAGTTTACATGAATTTTAAGACAGAAATATGCATGTATTAAGCAATTGGTTTCACTTGTGAGGTGGCGTTTGTTATGTATATCACGATATAACGGGATAGTGTAGAACTCAACTCGTTATCACTTTAAAAACCATCTTTTGGGTAGCAAAATAGAAGAATCCAACAATGCATCTTTTGGTGGCTTAGTTGCGAAAGGATTTGGGATAAATCACTTTAAAAGAATTGTCACATGTTCTATTTCCACAGGATTCAGCTCTTAGATGGTCGTGCTCATTTTGGGATGGTTATGGTTTGCAGAATATGACATGAGCCCAGACAAAAATGGATTCAATGTATAGTTAAGGAGGGGAGAGGAGAGGCCATCAACAATATTTAGTGGACTATAGTTTTTGTATACGATATTTGTGTTTAAATTAGTATATTATACAAAGGCCCTTGATGACCTCCAAATTCCAATTTCTCCCATGGTCACGTGCAAGCGATTATAACTTGAAGTAGATTATATGCTTAAGGCTCTCAACTTTTTCATGGCTAAAATAATTAGTTAACAAAAAAGTGTACGATTTATTTATAGGATTTGATCTTGATCTGATTTTGATTTCTAGGATTTGATCTTGGGATGTCACCTGATGAAACTGATAATATGGTTGGTGGTGATGGTGCTAGAATAGGTGGACGGTGGTGGTTGCCGATGAACGGTGCTTGGTGGTGGTTGCGGTGCAAGTGGGAGTATGAGTGAGTCTTAATAAATCACTTAATTGATTTTCTTAAATCAATAAAACAATAAACAAAAAAAAACTGAAAAAAGAAAATACAAAGTGCAATATAGTTTTTTCATTTCTACGAGGGACGAAAACGCAATAAAATCATAACTTAGGGACGGACGGACGGACGGACGGTACGCGTAAAAAAACTTAGGGACCAAAACAATAATTTTTACCAAACCACAGGAACGATTTTAGTAATTTGTTCAATTGAAATGGTAAAGTAGATCGTTTTGACCCGATCTAACCTGGTTTTGAACGTTTTAACCAAATCCGGTAATATACCGATAATTAGGCCCATTACAAAGAAAGATCCTGGATAGATCGTTGACCCGATTTTTTTGCCTTTTTATATCGAATGAAAACAATTGATATACATTAGAGATGAAAATGGGGTCGAGGAGTGTCCTCCAAATCCCCATCCCAACGGGATATTTCTTTTATATTTTAATATGAAAATGTTTATGTAAATAAAAACTTTATATTTTAATGTTACCAACATAAGTTTAAAGATTTTATAAAACATAAAAACATTTCATAAAAATTATATTACTTTTTCTACCTAAATTTAGATACGAACATGGAAAATCAAGTAGCTTTAGCTGTTGGGAATGCAACAAAACAAGTTAAGCACTTCTGAAAAATTGATAAATGATTTCGGCAAAACTCGCGGAATAAAACTACTAAAAAATTGCAAACGAAATTGAACACGATATTTAACGTGGTTCGGTCTAATCTGACCTACATCCACGGGCGAACGAGAGAGAGAGAGGATTTTATTATCACCAGAGAAAATTACAATCATACAAGGCTAAACTGCACTTGTAATCTGATCACTCAGTATAAGGTATCACTCGTGCTTTTGGCTGCCGAATTAAAGGCTCTGCACAAAAGGCTTCCTCACTATTTCTACTGGATATATAAGAGAAGTTACTTGACTCTTATATATGTTTTTGTTGTGTTTTGGTGTGTCTTTTCCCTTCAACATATGCTTCCTTTTATAGTAGATGAAAAGGAATAAAGAGGAGAAATTAGTGGAGCAAATCAAGGAGTAATTTATGGAAAGAGGAGTGGGTGGGAGACAATGGTGAGTCTCCACCAATTAACTCAACAATCTCCCACTTGGAGACTTGAATCATACGGTCTTCCTATCATCCAGCTCTTGCAACACACACACACTCACACTCTCTCGTTATCTGCCATGCCTTCCTCCTCAAACTTCTGGAAGGCCAGTTGAAGTCATGCATAACTTCAACTTATCGGTGGTAACCACCTTGGTGAACATATCTGCTGGATTCTTCGTTCCAAGGATTTTCTTCAGATGTAGAGTTCCATTACTGATTAACTCTCGAATGAAATGGTACCTCATCTGAATGTGTTTCGTTCTACTGTGAAACACCGGATTCTTAGCTAGGTGAACTGCACTTTGGTTGTCACAATGCAGTACACAATCCTCCTGTTGAAATCCAAGTTCTAATAAGAACGTTTTCAACCATATAAGCTCCTTGGCCGCTTCTGCAATAGCCATGTATTCTGCTTCTGTGGTTGAAAGAGCAACACTCTTTTGTAACCTGGACATCCAACTGATTGCCGTACCTCCTATTGTAAACACATTACCTGTTGTGCTTTTACCCGAATCCTCACATCCACCCAAATTTGCATCGGTGAACCCTTCTAAGACCACCCCCTTTATTCTGTAACATAGGGCAACCTCAACTGTTCCTTTCAAGTAGCGTAACAACCACTTTACTCCTTCCCAATGCTCTTTTCCTGGATTCGACATGAACCTGCTCACAACTCCCACTGCTTGAGCAATATCTGGTCTGGTGCATACCATAGCATACATTAAGCTACCAACTGCAGATGCATAGGGAGCTTTAGTCATCTGGTTCTTGTCTTCTTCCGTCTTTGGGGATTGCTTCTTTGGGAGTCTCAACTGACTTCCCAAAGGTGTACTTCTGGCTTTAGCATCTGCCATGTTGAACTTTTCTAAAACTTTCTTGATGTACTTAGCTTGTGAAAGTTTTAATGTACCGGTAACTCTGTTCCTGGCTATGCTCATGCCCAATATCTGCTTAGCAGTCCCTAGGTCCTTCATCTCGAACTCTCTGGACAACTGCTTCTTAAGCTTGTTGATTTCCTGCATGTCGGATCCAGCTATCAACATGTCATCAACATATAATAACAGGATGATGTAAGAGGAGTTGAATTTCTTCAAGTAGCAACAATGATCCATTTCACATCTGTGATACCCACTCCTCTGCATGAAGCTATCAAACTTCAAGTACCACTGTCTTGGAGCTTGCTTCAATCCATACAGACTTTTCTTCAGTTTGCACACCAGATTTTCCTTACCAACTGTGGGAAAACCCTTTGGTTGTGCCATGTAGATGTCTTCTTCCAGGTCACCATGGAGAAAAGCTGTCTTCACATCTAGCTGCTCTAGATGGAGATCTTCAGAGGCTACAATTCCCAAGACCATTCTGATTGTAGTCATCTTCACAACTGGGGAGAATATCTCGTTGTAGTCAACACCCCTCTTTTGTTGGAAACCCTTTACTACCAATCTGGCCTTGTATCTTTTACTGCCATCAATCTCATATTTGACCCGAAACACCCATTTGTTCTGCAGTGCTTTCTTCCCTGCCGGGAGCTTGACCAAGGACCAAGTATGGTTCTTATCAAGTGAGCTCAACTCGTCTTCCATAGCCGTCTTCCACTGTATGGAATCTTTCATCCTTAAGGCCTCTGGATAAGATTCAGGTTTACCATTCTCAGTCAACAGCAAGTAATTAGCTGAAGGAGAATACCTTACTGGAGGTCTTCATGATCTAGTGGATCTACGAATAATAGGAGTTTCGGTTTCTGCATCATTTGCAACCTCATCTTCTGAACTACTATCCACCGTGCTCCCACTATCTCCAGATACATCAGAGCTCCCACTGCTTCCTGAACTTTCACCTATCTCTGGAGTACTAATAGGTTTTACAACGTCATCGTCTGAGATTTCTTCTAACTCAACTTGATCCTTCTTTTCTGGTTGCTTGTCACCATTGGAGATTTTTGCAAGTTCATCCTTGTATAGAGCATTTTCGTTGAACACCACATCCCGACTTCTGATAACTTTCTTATTCTCATTATCCCAGAAGCGGTACCCCATGTCATCCAACCCGTAACCTATAAAGGTGCACTTCCTTGCCTTTGCCTCTAGCTTGTCTCTCTCCGAGTCTTTAACTTTAACATACGAGACACAACCAAATACCTTCAAGTGTTTGAGTGAAATCTCCCGACCTTGCCATTCCTCTTCTGGAATCTTGAACCCTATGGGAACTGAGGGTCCTCTGTTGATTAAATATGCAGCTGCTTTGACCGAATCTGCCCAGAACATCTTGGGTAAACCTGCATGCAGTCTCATGCTTTTAGCCCTCTCGTTCAATGTTCTGTTCATCCTCTCAGCTACTCCATTTTGCTGAGGTGTCTCCGGAACCGTCTTTTGCATTCTGATTCCTTGGTCAGCACAATAATCAAC